CTATATGAAGCTAACAAGAGAAAACTTTGGGTTAGCCGAGTAAGCAAGCTAGAACTGACATCAAGCCCAGAAGGGAAGACCACACACAGCCTGAAAAGCTTAAGTATAAGACAAACTAGATAAAAAAGAAGATGATGACTAGAGAGGCACTTGAAAGGGAAGGTACGAGCACAAAGAGACACAAGAAACCAAAGTACATGCAAAAGCCCTGACCCCTTAGCACACAGGCATTCATATCTGGAAATGGGACTCCAGATTTTGGCTCACCACCTGTTATTTACCACATTGTATTTATGCTCCATACGCATCCATTATGCAGATTCCACATCCGCAGGTAAAGGTAGATTTCAGTGAGCTGTACAGGTTGATAGAGCTGGTAACTACAGGTAATGCTATCCATTAGCACCAGCATCTCCTGTGCATGGACCTATGCATACTTAGTATCGCTGTCCCAGCCATACTGCACCCTTCCTTCCTTTTTCAAGGAAACAACAACAAAAAAACCAACAAAACAAAAGAAAAAAGATGACAGAAAGAAAAAAGAAAAGCCATGGAACTCATTTTCATCAGAACCAGCAAACCACACTGATATCACACCACTGGCCCCTATAATACCCTTGCCTCGACTGCTCAGGAAACTTAAAGACAGGTCTTCAGTTAAATGAATTTATATAGCCTGAGATAATTGTCATAGCTATGCAACTTTAATGAAATAGCTTGAGCCAGAATTTCTCCAGACACCATTGTATACTACTGATTTTCTAGGTTCCAATTTGTCAAATATTCTGTAAAGTTATAAATCTATTTCAGCTGTGCTTTTAAGAACAGTACTACCAAAAAAAAACCACCCAAACTTGAGTTCACTTGATAGGATGTTCCCCTTTCCAAATTACCTCCCTAATTAGAGGGAAAGCTACCTGACTCATTTTCCCCTCAGCAGGATGGTGTTAAGTATCTCCCCTTGCCTCAGCTGTGTTATGGAAGTTCATCAACATGTGAATGATACACAAGCTTATAATGAATACCAAAAATCTTGCAGGGTGACACATGTCACTGAACCACACAAAACATTTGCAATTGCTTAGTCAGTATCCTGAAAGTAGAAAACACATGGAAGTAGCTGCTCAGATGCCACTTCTTTAAGTTTTCTTCAGAAACTCTAATTATGGTGTATCCATCATTCAGGTGCTCAACTTACACCTTTTTAATCACACTGTGTATTTAATTATCCATATCAAGTGTGGTGAGGAGAGGCAAGTTAGACTACCCTCTCTTGGACCCGCTTTCCATGGCAGCAGATTCTATTACAGTATTTCATGATTTAAATTACTAGTTTAAATCTTCCTGCTATTATCTTTAACAAACAAGCCAAAAGGGTGAAGTATACATCAGTGCTTTGGATTTCAGGAAAATCCTAATTAGACATATTTAGCAGATCTTATGAATCACTCCTTTTTACATGACACTGCAGTTTAAGACTTGCTTGCTTTGAAGAAACGGAAAGATTTCTCTATTTTAACATGCTCAAAGAGCCCTTGGTTTGCATACTACCTAAGCCATGTTTCAGGTGGACTTACCAAATGGAGGAATTCAACTTTTAGACTATAAACTCTGAAAGCCTGAAATACTCAAACACTAAATACTGGCTCAGACACACCAAAGTGACTATCCCATTCTACCTAAGAGCCTTGGCTTGCTTACCAAACAGGGATGTGGCAAGCGCAAGGGGAAAAAAGTTGTTATTCTTTTCCATTAGCTTAGGTACAGGTTGAAGCATACATTTTAATTACCAAAACAAGAAGCAATACATTTAAAGAAACAACCTCCATAAGCAGTTAGCATTCAATTCCCAAACCTAGTCAGAGAAAGAGAGAATAAACATTTACAGTGCAAAACACCGTAGGCAGATTTGACTGACTACAGCTGTCAAATGCAGACAAATCAAAGTTATGCTATGAGTTCTGCCCTTCTATTAGTAAATACAGATTTAACTTCAAACACTCCTCAGTGGTAGGGTTTGATAGTCTGAGGATGCAAATGCAAATTCATATTCTTATGAGTAAAAGCTGAACTGGTATAACACTCAAGTTATAACTGCCAGATTTCTGGTATTTAAGGGTACCATTGTTGTTTCATCACTTGCATCAACTATGCTTCCTATCTGTGAAGAATTAAAAATCAACAGGTCCTAAACTCTTCTACTGGTGCCCTATAGTCTGAGGCTTTGGAATAACACCCTCCCCAGTCCCCCAATAAAAGAAATAAAACCAAGAAAACAAATAACAAAAAAGGAAATTACACCTCTGAAAAACAACTGCACTGTTGCTGTTATACCAGACAGTTTACATGTAGAATATTGCTACCTCATGGCTAAGCTTAAAACGTTATTCTTTTCAAAATGGGAATTTAGCTGAAACAAGAGGTTGCTGAAGGCAAGCTACTCAAAGAATCAACCTGCTTTAGCTTTGGCATTCCACAAACTAAGTCCATTTCTTCCAAGTCTGCAAAAACCAAAAACGCATCCCACAGCAGATTTTCTTAGCCAGTTAGACACATGATACATTGCCACACCAATAGAAGTCCTAAAAAAAAAAGCAGTGAGGTTACTTAACTATATGCTACTGCCCACCACTACAGCAACAAACAAAAGACCAAAGATTGTGCTTCTCCTCTTTCTAGAAAGAAAAAAAAAAAAAACACAAAAAACACACACAAAGCACCTGTATGCCTTTAATGACCAACATCATGATCGATGATAATGAACATGTTTCCACCAGCTACGTTTTTCTCACAAGATCTCCTTGTTTAAAGTCTGTACCTCGAAAACAATTTTCTTATCACAAAAGGAATATGACAGATGACGTCAGATCACACTTCCTTAACTCAAAGATAGTAACTTTAAATATGGTTAGTAGCCTTATAAATACATTTACTTTTGCAATATGACTTTAAACATTGGTTTAAAGCAGGATAATTAAGCAGGTTCACACCACTGATCAACCTCTGCGTGTTCCTGGACACTTTGGAAAAATAAACAGTAATTACAGCATCCTAGAAAGGGCCCAAGATCAAGCCTTTGAGAGTTGTTCAAAACAATCCTAGAAATACACCACGGGAACTTAATTCCAACTCGAAATATATGAGCCAACGCATTTGCAGTTCAGCCATAAACAACAAAACACCCCAAAAAAATCATCATGTATGTGTGCAGAAGCAAACACATGTGGCCTAATGCAAGCCTAATCAAAGGAACACGGAAACTGAAAAATACAAGCATTAAAGTAATGCTATATTATGTAAACCTCAAGAAAATGGCAATTCATGCATTCATATAAGAAAACATACAAGTATCATCAACAACTACTCCTCTTTCTATGCCTTTGCTATTAAAATCCACTGTGTTTATTCATGGTTCAATCACATCAATACTTCTAAAGAGAGAGTTTTCCACACTGCTTTACAGCTAAAGATACACAAAGGTAGCTACCACAAACTATAAACAGAACAGTTTCAGTCTTAAAATTTGCAAACATCATAACACACAAAGCACAAAGTGTTGGTTTCTTCCATTCTTAAACCTATGCATTTGGAAGGCCAAGCTTACTGAAGTCCTACCTTCCTTTAAAACATACAACTGTCTTCTGAAAAGTAGAAGACCACAGGTATCTGAAACTACCCAAGTCATCCTAAAACATATTAAATTAGACCCTAGCTTTTTATCAAATGCACAGAAAAAAATCACTAACTCTGAATTACTGAAGACAAGTGCTTACCTTCAATCCTTTTTAAGGCTGACAGGCAAGTATCCCGGCTTGGAAATTCAAATGGATTATTACAGGTCCGAATGGTGTCGCATTCACATTTCCCGTTGATTATGTTACAACCTGTTATAAGGTTTTCATTGCACGGTTCAAATCCAAGAAGCTGATCATCATCCCAGTTTTCATCTAAAATAAACAAACAAACTCACTCACTATTGGATTTCGGCTGCAGTATATAAATTCAGCTGCTCTGGAGTTGGGTGTGATTTACTTCAACATAGCGCTAAACAGAAGATAACAGATTAAAAAAAATAATGGATTAATCTAAACTGTGGGATTTGCCAAATACCATGTTTTGCAGCTGCTCTATTGCCCATTTTGCTACAGCTACTGGCATTGTTTACTTCCATCTGTATGAAAAACTATGATGTCTTGGGAAAATGCATAGCTGTAGTACAAATGAGTGCCATTCTAACTGAAATAACTTTTACAGATACTTGAAGTTATATTTATCATGGAAGCGAGAATGTTGGACAGAATCTGCAGCTGTTGTAGAAGTCAAAATTGAGTCAGAAAGAGAGCATTTTTAAACCTGATTAAAAAAATACGTCACAGAATTCACAGAGATAACTTCTTATTACAAAAATACTGCAAGATGACAGGCCTTTGATTCTGTAATGACCAAAAGTGAGTTTTCCAGCACTCCTGGATTACCATCCATACTCTAGGAGAATTGCTCAAGCACATCATGCCCCTTGCTGTCAAGGGGCAAGGGGATAGTTCGGCTGGAACGAGTCTCTCTGCTCAAATATTCTGCTCCTTTTGAATCAGTCCCATCAAATGTGTGTAACCCATAATCCCACTGTACAACTGCCCATTTTCCTATTAGAAGGAGGCTACATATAACAAGATGGTTTTTTTCTCCAGGAAGAAATAAATCCAATCAATCCTGAGTTCCACCAAGATTACCAGTCCTACAAAAATCTCAGCTTCCTTAGGTCAAGTGCACATACAGCAACATCCCACTGACTCAGAAGTTCAGCAAGACAACATGCTTTTTATGCAAGATTGAAGAAAATAAACTAGGCATTAGGTATTCTTCGCTACAGAGCACCAGATGATCTTCCAACCTCGTGTGTCTACCAAAACAAGTACGACACAACAGTCACACAGATAGTCCACTGACTTCTAGTAATGATAAAAGGAACAAATATCCATTTTCAATCTTTACATCCTTATATTTCACAGCAGCCTTCACACTGTGCCTTCTAGTAGTTCACTCCAATTTTATATACTATCAACAAGCAAGTTTCCAATATGGATCCTGCCAAGAAACACTTTAAAAAAGTTAAGACATCTTGCAGCTACAAAGGGTGGGTTTTTTGTTGTTGTTGGGGTTATCAGAAGCTGTCCTCCAGTACGGGAGGCCACAGCCAAATACAAACTGTTTATCATTCAGTAAGCTGACATTCAATGGAAGTCTAAAAACTGACAGTAAATAACAGTATACACACACACACATATATATATATATATATACACACTGAGGTCGCGATGTAAGTACTGTCCACTCAGAACATGCGGAACATCTGCTAACCTGCAGATTTTCCTGTTTTGGGGGAAAAAACAACCAACACCTGGAAAGAGCTGTTTACCAGTTAAGTACTGTACATTATCTACAGCAAGTGCCACAGCAGATTCCCATAGGTATGTTTCTCCCTGTACAACCAGCTGCTTGCTTTCTAAGTCAGCAAAGCACCCTGCTGACAAAAAAGCACTGAATAAACAACTAAGTCAATTTTAGACATGAAAAAGGGAACCTCCATGGGAACCTCATGGCTCTTCTGCTCCATTAAAATAGCAAAGGAAGAGTAGTCATTAACCCCAGGAAGTAATCTGTCTTTTTTTTTTTTTTTAGTTAAAGTTAACCTGTCATCCCATACAGCAACTATATCAATAAAAGTCAGAGGAAGTGTAGAAGTTCCTGAAGAGAAACTATTAAAATTCTTTCAAGAGAAGATGCTGCTTCAGTAATGTTTGGGACACTTTCATCGTGAGGAGGCCATGCATGCAGAGGGAGGGGGATACATCCTGTTTTTGAGAAGCCGGAATACAGCCCGGACAATTTGTATTTTACAAATCACAGCAGTAATCCACGTAATGACAAGAACAAAAGGGGCTACAGCTATGCTCCAAGATTTGGCGTTTCAAGTTCTGTAACCACAGGGACCACAGCTTCATCCAGATCGGGCTGTTTTAACGGTCTTAAGAAAATGGTTTGAATTGCTCCTTGTTTCTGACACACAGGCTCTCCTCCCCTACCACTGTGCACAGGCCAGGAGCTTCGCCTGCCCCGGCAGCCGCGGGACCCACGCAGCAGTGCACCCTTGCCCCTGGCTCCCTGGAGCTGCTCTATCCACCCGCCTCCCGAGACCAGCGCAGCGCAGACAGCTGGGGCACGCAGATGGCGATGACAGCACACTTTTGCTTTTCCAGCACACCATTTCAGAGCATTTGTGAGTTTTTGCCCTGTGGTATTTCAGCACTAGATCTTTTCAAGGCTGACAGAGAGATCAGCAGAGCTCCCATTACACAAGAGCTGCTCGTCCCACATAAGGTGGGACCCACCTGGCATGGAAAGCAGAGCCATCCCTTACTCATGGCAGAATGCCTTGATGCAGATGCACAACACATCGTGGCACTACTCACAATATCTGATTTCCAGACCAGGTTAGTGTTTGATATCTCACCTGCCACCTCTCACGGCTTTTCAGATGGGAGCAGAAAAGGAGGTACACAGGAAGCGCACAGCCCAATACTAGGTGCACCTGAAGTCTTTGGTGCCACACCCCTCAAAAATTAGCTCAGTAGCCATTAAGAGGATGGAAGAGAAGAGAAATACCTCAGAAATACTTGCAGACTATACATCTAACATGCTGAATCCTGAAACAAGGTATTTTTCATTACTGTAAGTGAATACAAAAAAGTCATATTCAGACAGGAAGAATGCAAATCCAGTTCTAGCCTGGACATCTTTTACCAGACTGCTTTTCACACAACTTCATTTAGAAACAAGATTTCCATCAATGAAGGAGCAAACATGTAACAAGAAAAGAGCTTATTTTTGTTTAGTAAATCAATGCAAAGCCTGGCATCATCTTTCATGCAGACTTAAGACTCCTTTTCCTAGTTGATTTTGTCCTTTTATGAACAGAAGTTAAAGGTCCTGTTAAATGAATACTTATTTACCACTTAGGGTAAACCCTCAGAAGTCAATCAGTACAGGCAGAACAAAATTCCTTGCAATGAAAGGTACAACCACATGAAAGCACTTGCATGAGCTAAAGGGATCAATCCAGTGTCTCACTTTGCATCAAGTAACTAAAGCATTGAATCAAAGGCATCTAGTGCCTTGCTTGATGCAGATAAATGATGGTCCAGTACAGCATGCTTGTTCCTTTAAAGGTCAGCAATATTTCAACTGATAATGGAAACATGTCTTGAACAAAGTCTAGGCTCTGTCAAGCATATAACCTAGCCTTTATTACTCCCCAAATCACCACGTCCTGCAGGTTATTCCAAAAACCAAACTTTTACACACCAGTGATTTGGAGACCTGGGACAGTTCATGAACAATTCCAGACTGTAGCACAAACATTTTCCTGCATGCTCTGTTTCACCTCCTCTGTGGCTTCCTTTTCAGGAGAGCGCACTTTCATGCATACCTCTGGATGATATGAAGGAAGAAATTGAGATATAGTCATTTGTGAATGCTCTATTTCTCTGCAAGCAGGGTTGACAAACCCCAAATGTAAGAATCTAAGAGCCTCTCACAGCTCAGTATGCGCATCCTATCCACTAGGTGACTTCTAGGACACTTAAAAATACAAAAATCAAGTAGGTGTTTAACATTCTTAAGTTTTTAGGAAGAATCCAGCTGAAGAGCAGCCCAAGCAAACTGTCAGTTTTCATCCGAATTGATCTTAGTTTAGCTGCAATTTCCACCATCCCATTGTGCTGGCATGATCAGGTAGGGGCAAAAAAAAGGGAAGGGCCACTCTTTTTAGCAGTCCTGAGTTGACATTGGACTGTTGTTACATAGCCACTCAACTACCTTTTGCACACACACACCTAGAAGCAGTTCAAACGCTCCCAGAAGGCCAATAACTATAGCTTGAAAGTCACTCTTTCAAATCACTTCTACCTACATGCAGTTCCCCACTCTAGACAATAAAGTAGCTCTGCATTTACTCAGACCAAAGTTAAGTCTAAGGACTAACACTTTTTTTAATTCTAAGTGTGCTTTCATACCATAAGGAAGCCACAGGAGGGGAGGCATCATGTTAATTCAAAACTTTTTTTGTTTCCTTCCATCATTCATATAATCACTTGCTTTCTGCAAACCAAATGTTTCAGCTTGCTGACAATTCAAGTGCTGCTCTGGGTTGCTGAACTCCCAAGTCCTGTCATAGCATGCATCTAAAGTAGGGAAGAGGATTAAGGTATTAACAAGTTGAACAAGAGGTCCTTAAACAACAGGTCCAGTCTGGGAAACAGCCTGAGAAATATGTCTCTGGCAAGCAGCATTCCATCACTTCTTCCGTGCCAAATCCTACATACCAGCACTCACAACACAGCACCACAGCAGTCTGCGAGGTGTGATGCTCATGATTGAAGCAGGTATGTCTTCTTCACCTGAAGAGCTGCTTATGTTTCCAGAAAAGCATGCAACTATGAGAAACTAACTTGGAGCCTTATTTTTATAGTACACAGCAGCTCACTATAGTTGCATTTATTGTCCCCATATGCAAAGGATCATTTCAAAACAGGTGCAAGTTAAAAGTACAAGGAAAGACCTTTTCAGAGACTCCTTCTCCATTGCTTAAATTTTTGCTTTCCCTTCCTTCATGTTCTCAATTCTTTCTGCCCGCCACAGAATCTTCTCTTTCGTGCCCCAACCCTTCCCTTCCTTTTTGGACATTTAATGAATGTCAGCTACTGTTTGGAAAAACATACACTATTCTCCTTCACTGTTTGTAAAGATAATGCATCACCTCAAACCAGCAAGCAACACACTGGAACGGTCACTAAAGTATCACTGTTGAAAACTAATATACAAGCATTGCACCCACAATAATCTTAAATTACAGTACAGGGGTGAGGGGGTAAACATAACTGGAGTGAATTGAGTGAACTCCCATAATTTACATTTAATTGCAGCATGTTACTCCGCTATTTCTGCTTTTTCAAAGCATGACAGACAGGTTCTCAGGATGCTGAAAGAGTAAAGAGACCATCAAATACATTGCTGATCTGAAAGTGAAACAAAGTCACATCTTAAAAGGATGCAGGAGTCTATAAGTCTTGCATTTGAAGGAGGACAGAGAACAGTTTTCACAGTGACACAGAAGTGACCCTTACTGAGACCAGTGTTGCCCTCTGGGAAGGGGGGGAGCTGGTGGTGGACGGGGACACCTTTCAGAAGCTTCTCCATCAAACCAGACCCAAGGTCTGAGCCCCGCCACTCCAGCACACTGGTGTACACCACAACATTTTCAAATCAGTGGTACTCATTAAGATGGTATGAGACTCTGAAAGGATTCTACAGACTTTCCAAAATAAAAAAAAGTAAATACTTCTTGCCAGTAGGCTTTGGCTTCACTTTGAACAGGAAAAAAGAAGGATGGAAAGGAAATTCATGTTTTGGAGGAGCTGAACAATAGAAATGACTAATCACCACTAAAGAATGCTTGAAACCCAGCCCCAGACCTTGAAAAGCAGCAGAAGGGAAGGCTAGCCTTGAAGTGAGTTTGAGCTCATGTACTGGCTGCAATCCTCTCCTCTCTTGCAACTTATTCCTTCAGTGAAGTCATGAATTGGGGACCAGAGCCGGCAGAAACTTTTATGGCAAGACACACAGCTGAGAGTTTTATGATAAAGCAGTTTTTTCCACCTTTTGGAAGGGTCCACTTCCCAAGATCAAATCTTCATGTGGAATGCACGTCAGTACAAAAGGGCTTTGCAGCCTCCTGATAAAATTTCTAGCCAAAGCTAGAAAGCAAAACTGTACCATACCATTTAGATACCCGAGAAACACCATAAATTTAAGGCTTGTCTCAAATTTGACTGCCTGCTCTATCTTATTCAAACTAGAGTGTGTATCTCAGGTGATCAAATCCCCAATACAGCAAGACAGATTTCCACTGCAGCAGCACTGCATGTGTTTCAAGGCAGTTATTTCATACTAAGGAATGCAGAAAGTATTTAAACAAACCAGCTTTCCGCTCAATTATCAGAAACTCCACAGAAGCCACGAGGAAAGCAAGGAGATAAATGGTAGCATTAAGTGAAGCATGTGATTTGGACAACTATTTCCAGTTTTAAAGTTTTCCCTTGCCCACACTGTCTGCAATATTTCACTTCTCCAGGTACTCCTCTGTTTTTTTTTTTTAGTGGGTTATTAGGGTTTCCCCCAACAAGGCTGAACGATATTTCCAATAGCCTTCTACCCCAAAGATGGTTTGAAATGATAAATAATTAGTTTTGAAGTCTGACCTCTAGACATTTAAGCACCTGAAAAAAGACTTGCAAATAAGTTATTCTAATCTTATGACCAGAACCACGTCTTGTTTGTAAATAGTTGACTGAAAATATTACGCAGTGTCCCAGGGTTTAATTGGTCAGACACAACCTCTGCCAGTACTCCCCTGATTAGAATGAGCATGGACAGCAGCATTTCAGCTGTCCTAGCAGATTTTTCCTCTAGTTCTAGAAAACTCTTTAAAAAAGAAAAAGTTGGTAAAGCTTCAGGAAAAGGTCAAACCTTTGTACCCATCTTCCAACGGAGGCTAAAATCCCAATATTTTTTTTTTCCTCCTCCAGGTTGCACACTGCACCCACACGCTTCAGAAGCCTGCACGTAAAGCAACACGCATCAGCTTCACTGCAAACAAGCAGCTGGCTGGCAGCTTACTGAAGCTGCCCAGCAGAAGCAAAGCTGACAAGAGTAGAAAAAGTTTTGCCTAAGACAAATTCTGGAACAGGGCTATCAACAAAGCAACCTAGACCAAGAACAGTCCACACTATTAGAAGAAATCTGATATCCTAAACCTTTTGCCACTCTTCCCCCCCAAGTCATTAAGGCAGCTTCACTGAGCACCAGAATTACAGGATGTTTCAGAGGAATTACACCCAATTTCTTAGTCACAGAAGACTACAGGAAAAACTCTGCATACCCTGGATTTAGAATTAGCATCAAGGCTTTTTTCTTTTTCTAAAACCTAACTTAGAGATACACATCAACTTGAGTCTTTCTATTATGAAAGCAGCATATTTTACATTAGCACATGTAATACCATTACCAGTATGACCCCAGCTTTTTATCAACAGCCTATCAGTGAGGGGAAGCAACACCTCCACATGCATACATCCAGCCTTTCTGAAAAACTCCTGAACAGAGCACAACACAGACTATAGCAAAACCCTGAAGTTTAATTTGTTTCAAGGATAAGTGACCCAACAGAATGGGCTCTCTCAGATTCAGAAACGGTACACTTCCTAGATTTTTCACTAATTAAAAAAAAAAAAACAGAACAAAAACACTTGAAGCCTATCAGTATCAAGGTAGCTGCCGATATAAAACTTTGGAAGCGAGTAAGAACATGGGAATGGGTGCCTGCCTGCAAGCCAGTGCTTTTCCTCCTGTCCACAACCCTATGCTCTCCTGTATTTTCTTACTGAAAGACTTGCACACTCATGACCCACAAGGTGTTAACATGATTTGCAGATTCTGAAGTTAAGTACCCAATATACCCAGTGAAAGCTGCTGGGGACTGAATATTGCCTCTGGTAAAGGTGTGAACTGCTTCCATTCATCTCAATACATTACTAAGGGCTTACTTCCTCCAAGCATGGCCAAACTAGTCTGTTTAGTCTAGAGCTCCCTCAGGGACCATCTTTTAATCCGTATGCTTATGTGGAATTTAATCTAGATAGCCTTTATACAAAGTTATCTTCCCATCTTAGTTTATATTGGTATGTTTCTCCATATACATAAGCTTTCCATGTCAGTATCAGTCATTTCCCAAATTGCATGCATACATACCAAAAGGCAGAGTTAAAATGTAATATTATCAGACTACACAACTGGTGTCACCTGAAGTTTCAGGCAAAACCCTGAATTCACCATTTCCAAGTTTACATTCCCTGTGGATTAAATGCATTCTCAAATGAAAGCAGTTTACAAGTCACAAGAGACATTTAATAGTTCACTTCTACAAAGTATTTAATCCATTAAAACAGAGAAACATTTCGTCCTGTCTGCAAGATGCTATAAACTTTACCTATTGAGATGAAGAACCCTTGTAGGGGGGCATAAAGGAAGGAGGGGAAGAGGAAAGCATTTTTGAACCATATTAACAGATTAATTATTGCATAATATGCTGGTCAGTCAAATGACATTTTGGTTGGCTAACCACTATGCAAAGAGTTAAATTATGCAAGTATTATTGAATCAGCTAAAGGATACTTAAAACTGCAAACATGCCTAGGGGTGCAGAAATTACTGGCAAGTTTGAAGGTAGTTTAAAAAAAAAAAAAAAAAAGATTCTTTATAAGCAGCATGATTTTGGGGAACTTGATGAAATAACCATTTTCCACAAGGAAAAATTCACATCAGCAGAGGATGCTTGACATACAGTCATGTGAGATCAAATGGTTTAAAAAAAACAGAAATAAATGAGAGTACTCCTCTTAACAGAAGTTAAGAGATTTAGTCATCCAGCCTATCCACAGTGAGACAGCCAGTTTTAAACTAACTGTGCTGATGCACAACAGCAAAACCCTGTGAATTCCAGCATCAATATCCCTCCTCATATCTGTTGGACTTTTCCATTTCATTTTTCTTGAAATACTGGAACCAAGTGATTTCTAAAATCGAAACATGATGCCCAGAAACAGAGAGGAAACCATTTCCAAGTCAAATAAGCACCCGACCTAATTCAAATTCCATGTCACACTCAAAGTTACATGTTCTTACTGATGTTGAGATTTCGGCATTGACACAAGTCAGAGTAGAAATAGCTTACAAATTACCCAGCCTATGCATAAGGAGTCAGCGTGTGCCTAGCCAGTGTTTCCTGGGGGGTGGGAAGGGACTGTTCAATATGGTCAAGACCAGCATATCAGAAGCTGAACACTCACCATCAGACTATTGCTTCTCATTCCAGTTTCACAAGTTCAGTAATTCTCGTGATTTTTTTTTTTTTGACACCAGGAATAATTGTTCCATTTTTTTTTTTCCCCTGATAGTCTGGATTGCTGACAGTCTTTGAACCAAGTATTTTGACTGTCTTCACGCCAACAATCATTTGGTGCACCACATAATACTGATTAAGTCCCCAACTAGATCAGCTCTAATGCTTGATGTTAGCTGAGGAAGTTCTCTGTACACGTGCGGACATCAGAACTATTTGGACACTTCCCCAGGCATTCACTACATAACAGAGTAAGAAAAAACAAACAAAAAAAGTTAAGAAACTGGGTAGCACTGTTGCAGTCAAACAGATATAAACAACCAGGTTACCCCCATGCAACTTCTAAATCACTTGAACTTCAGTAATTCGTACTCAAAGCAAAATACTATCTGATCCTCAGGGGCATGGACTGCAT